ACGCATCAATTTTAGCTGACATTTGGTCTGGAAGGGTTTAAAGAGTCATAATTTTCAAGTATCACGTCATCAAATGGATTGTTACACTATTTTATAAAGATTTACCAAACTTATCGAACGACCCTCGTACACATGTGCAAATGTACGTGTGTATACATCCTGAATCAGGAACAAAAGTATTTGTTTTGAAATAAGACCATGAAATACATGATTATTTTTTATGAATAGGAATTTCTAATCACATTACAAGAACCAGTGCCTCAACCAAACAAACATGAAGAGAAAGAATGGTGGCATCCCGAATGTACTCGAATCGCAGCAGAAGAAATGCTAAAGCGTATCCCTATAGATGGTGCATTTTTAGTAAGACCTAGTGAAAGAGAGAGTAATTGCTATGCAATTTCATTTAGGTATATTTCCTTAAAGCTTGTATGTTTTCTATATAACTGTAGATTTTATATAGTTAATTTACTTCTTGTACTAACACATGTAAATTATAATCTATTATTATAGAGCGGAAAAGAAGATAAAACACTGTAAAATAAAACTCGAAGGGAGGCTCTATACCACTGGAACCGTAGAATTTGAGAGTTTAGTTGAACTAGTCAATTATTACGAACGGCATCCATTGTTCAAAAAAATTAAATTAAGCCACCCTGTTAATCAAGATGTTATCAGAAGAATGGGTTTGGTATGTACATTTACTTTTGTTCGATTTTTATTCGTGTTTATATAACATGTAAATATATCAAACTGCTAAAAGATATGAAATATTGTAACATTCCTTTTCCTCTGTACTTAGGATAATGATGATGGATCTGTTTATGGCATCCCAGGTTATATGGATCCTACAAGTTTTACGTCAAAAGTAAGGTTTCCGAAATGATGTCGATAATTATCAAATTCATATTTACCAATTCTTATAATGTGATAAAAATATATATAGAAATATTTTTTCGTAGAAGTAGATATTAATCATAGATATGTATAATTCAACATATTAATATATCGAAAATTATTTTAAAGGTTACTGTTAAAGCTATTTACGATTATAAAGCTAAAAGAGACGATGAATTGACCTTAGTCAAACATGCTATAATTACTAACGTTAATCCACAAAGTGGAGGCTGGTGGAGAGGTGATTATGGTGGTAAAAAACAACATTGGTTTCCTGCTAATTATGTAGAACAAATTGATCAACAAGAATCTCAAGGAGACGTAAGTTTTGAATTTTATATTTAAGCATATGAATGGTCAGAAAAAACTGTAATGATAATATAAAACACATCATATCATATAATTAAGCCTGCGGCATACGATGCTTGTTTTCCTGCTGGATTGCTAGCTGAATTAAAATCTTGTTACCGTATTGGCTGCGATGCTGTCAGTGCCAGCATCACAGTCAATACGGTAGTAAGATTCTAATCCAGCCAGCAATCCAGCAGGAAAACAAGTCTCGTATGCCACAGGTTTTATTCAAAGTTTATGATATAGTGTATTGCATCTAACTTCAAAGAATAAATGTCTTATATATAATAAATACTATAAATTTGTTCTTTTTTTAGTCAGCGGATTCTATGATGCTTGGTAGCTTGCAAAAAGGTTCATTAGATATTATGGGTGCTGTAGTAGAATTAACAGTTGGGGAAAGACTAGGTTTGGAATGGATTTTAAGAATACAAAATCCTAGTATGTGTTCAGTATTTGAAGTCGCGACGCCTTCGAAAGATGCTGCGTTAGAATGGATGTCAAGTATCAAAGAGACTGCACAAAATGCAAGTGTTAGGGTAAATATATAATTTCCTTTATATAAAATTTAAATATTATTCAGCATCGTGTGCATTTTTTACTACTTTTATTAGGAAAGTCAACATAAAGAGATGGAAAGAGCATGGAGAATAGCCAAGGAAATGTCTAATCTTATAGTATATTGTAGATCAGTTGCATTTAACATAGAACGAATAAGAACTAAGGGATTTACGTTCAATGAAATGAGTAGTTTCCCTGAAACAAAGGCTGAAAAATTAATGTGTCAACAAGAAAATAAATTTTTTATAAAATATCATCAGGTAATAAATATCGAGAAATAAAGAGAATATGGATGGATTAAAATAATGAAATGCAAAAGTAGATATTTAGTAATATAAATTATTTTTCTTTATAGATTCAATTTAGTAGAGTTTATCCAAAGGGGCAACGAATCGATTCATCTAATTATAATCCTATACCAATGTGGAATTCTGGTTGTCAGATGGTAGCTTTGAACTATCAGACCGGAGATAAATCAATGCAATTGAATCAGGCTAAGTTTAAGGAGAATGGCAATTGTGGCTATTTATTGAAACCAGAATTCATGTTTAGACATGACTTTAATCCATACGACAAAAATACATTGTATGGAGTTGACTCACTCAAAATCAGCTTAAAAATTATTGGAGCAAGACATTTAATGAGATCGGGAAGAGGCACTGCCAGTCCATCCGTCGAAATCGAAATTATAGGCGCAGATTTTGACTCTGGAACAAAATTAACAACAAGGACGATACGTAAATATCTATATTTCAAATTATAATTTCATCAAACACTACATTAACTAAACATAATTCTTCAATTTATAGAGGATAATGGATTTAATCCAATGTGGAATGAAATATGTGAATTTGAAGTATTCAATCCATATTTTGCTCTTATACGATTTTTAGTACAAGACGAAGATATGTTTGGCGACAGCAATTTCATAGGACAAGCTACTTATCCTGTAGGTATTTAATTGTTATTTATAAAAACATTTACCGAATAAGGGAGACAGTTCCGATGACATATGTTGTCAAGATCATGACCCCTGAGTGATCATCAGGTTTTAGCTCGTCATTTATTAAAAATTTATTAACAAAAAAAGTTTGAAAAATGATATCTCTTTTCTACTATATAAAACAGAAATTTTCTGCTTTAAAATATATTTTACAACTTTCCATGCGAAGCGACTCTCACCTTCCCCCTGCCAAGGGGCACATGACTTTCCATATCTCGCCAAGTTGCTTCGCGTGGAAAGTCATAGTCAAAGATATCCCTTGGCAAGGGGAGAGGTAGAGTGGAAGTCGTGTGCATCTGAAGCAGGGAGAGGAGCTGGGGTGAAAATCGTTTCACGCGAAAAGTTATTACGTAAACAAGGAAGGATATAGAATAGTTTTTAATATTGTATATAGCAGAAATATAAAAACATTCCCTGCTTTAACAACGCAAATTCTCTACTCTAAAAACACAAAAATTATATAAGAAATTATATAAGAAAATATTTTGCTAAAAATATATTGTTAAAGCAGAGAATTTGTTTCATCAGAGCACAGTTGTATTCAAAAGTTAGACTTTATTGATAAACTTTTTTGTTAATAACTTTTTAACGAGTGACGGCTAAAACCTGGTGAAGGTCACTCAGGATCATGACCTTGACAACATATGTCTCCCTATTCGGCATGATACCCAAACATTTATGTTTAACGTTATTTAGAACATTCTTACTTAAAATCTTTGTTTCCTATTCAAATTTCATTTTATTCAGGTACGCTGTTTAAGAATGGGATATAGAAGTGTTCCATTAAAAAACATATATAGCGAAGATCTTGAGCTTGCTTCCTTATTAGTACACATCAATATTACAACTCCATCGGTATTGAGATATTTCATCCAAAGTTATTTATTATATTGATATTTAAATTAAAATTTATATGATTTGTTTTTATATTTTAATAAAATTTTTTGTCTCTTATAGGTACATAATATGTAAAATAAAACAACCAAGATTAAACCTGTGTTATAGAATATTAAATATGCAAGCTAGTAAAACTAGTAAATTAGTATATGAAATAAGGTATTTATAAAGTATATGACAGTAGATATTTATCTTAGATAAATTCTGTTGTATGTGTACTAATATATTATCTGTTTATTTTAGATGATATAAATCTACAAATCATCGTAAGTGAAACGTATATATTGCGCTAGTACATAATAATATAAAACTAACATATGTTTTAGATCAGACTATATCACATATCGTTAAAAGACTGTATATATTTATGTTGCATTATGACAAATTAGACAACATAATTGCAACAATATGTTAAAAGTATTTCTGTAATTACAATATGAAACAAAGGTAAATGAATAAATATTCTCTTATTGAGAAGAACAGGGGGGAAGAATTAAAATTTAGAATAATTAAAAAGACTCAGGAAAGAGAAATAATATACTACATAGGTTTTATTGCTATGACATATAGACACTGTCAGACATTATTCAAGTTGTAACATATTTTATTATATATACAGGGTGTAATTTTTTGCTAAGCGCTTTTGTGTAGATAGAGTGGGTTAAACTGAGTCGAAAAATCCTCTACCATTTTGCAATTTTCGCAGTTAACAAGATATTAGGGCTCCTGAGTAGTCATCACAATTATATTAAATCATAACGTGAGAAATAACATGTTAATTTTTATTACGTCATTTGACGTAATAAACGTAATAACGTTTAAAGCATGAAATTGCTTTAAACATTTGTAAAAATAGACGAGAACTATGCTTGTCCCCCCTGACAATCAATAAATAATCATAAAAAGTAAAAATGGACGTGTAAAATAAGCTGCGTGTGCGCATTAAATAAAAGCACTTCATACCTTTTATCACTTTTTACGATTATTTATTGACTGTCAAGAAAAATAAGTAATAGTTTTCGTCCATTTTTACAAATGTTTTAAAATAATCTCATCATTTTGTTTTATTCAAATTGTCTTTATTTATAAATGGCACGTAATAAAAATTAACATATCATTTTTCGCTTCTAATGTTACAATTCAATATGACTGTGATAACTACTCAGGAGCCTTAATTACTAAAAATTGCCGAATATTGGTCTTCAATAATTTTTTTATCAAATACTATCAACTTTCCAAAAACCTGCAACAGGCAAAAATTTATTTTCTTCTCATAGAACTCTAAGAATTTTTTCAGAACTTGTTATGAACTTTTTAGTGCTGTATTTTCTTATTGGCAATTATTTTTACTAACGTGAGAAAATACGGTATTAAAAAATTCTGAAAAAATTCTCAGAATTTTATAAGAAAAACATGAACAATTTTTGTCTCTCGCTGTTTTTCTAAAGTTGATAAGTATTTGAGTAAAAAATTATTGAAAACCAATATTTAGCGATTTTTAATAATTAATATCTTGTTAACTATTGCGAAAATTGCTAAATGATAGAGGACTTTTCAACTCAGTTTAGTCCACTCTATCTACACAAGAGCGCTTGGCAACAAATTTTGCTACACCCTGCGTATACAGGATGTTCCATTTTAAAACTTGAAATACGAAGCGCCTTACCGGTCCGAGTGATAAGAAGTTGAACTACTATATAATATACACTCATTTAAATTAAATTAATTTTCAGAAATAATAATTGCGCGCCGATAGATTATTGGATATTTACACAATCAATCTGAAACAAATAATTTCTTCAAAATTTCCCGAATCTTAAAAAACTGTAATAAACTTATTGCGAAAAATATTGCCTCAGTAGTCTAAAGGTTTAGAACGCTCGCATGAAATGCAAGAGATCCGGGTTCGACTCCTGGTCGATTTCAAGTTTTAATATAAACGGTCTCGTTTCCAATCATATTGTTCCACTTTAAATAACGACCTCAAATTTCTCTTGAACAGTATATTTTAGAGAAAAATGTTTCAGACAAAAGTTTTGTAACTTCGAGAGGAACATAAGATGATACCATTGATTAGACCTTGGGTGGCATTGTCAAGGTGAGGACAAAGTCACTTTAAATTTTTTAAATAAAACTACCCATTTTTCATTATATATTCTTGTAGCTTACCTTGAGAGCTTTCCAAAACACTATAATTAAGTTCATTTTCATTAAGTACTTCTCGAGTTATAAGGTTTGCAAGTTATACCACCGCCGGCATTAGCATTACTCAAGATGTCCGATGGCTAAAACCTCTTGAATATTGTTCAGAATCATGATCTGGACAACATTACCGACGGTACTGTAACTTTTAAGCCTCATAACTCGCAAAGTACTGAAAAAATATTTTATTATAGTGTTTTGAAAAGTTCTTAAGCTGCAAGAATATATAATGAAAAATAAAAGATTCCGTTTAAAAAATTCGAAGTGACCTTGCTCTGACCTTGACAACGCTACTCAAGGTCAAACCAATGATATCATCTTATGTCCCCCTCGAAGTCATAAAACTTTTGCTTGAAACATTCTTCTCTAAAATGAACTATTCAAGAGAAATTTGTCGTAATTTAAAATAGGATACCCTGCGTGCGTGCGTGCGTGCGTGCGTGCGTTACATTTTTTAACAGTTTATGCTCTTAAACCATTGTGTGGCAGTAGGAAGTATAGTTCTCATATTTTTCTTTTTCATTTTTACAATTGTTTTAAGAAACCAGTTATGATTTCACTTTTTTTTGATACATTAATACTTTATATGTTTTTATGATCTTTATACTCGATTGTTCATTTTTCTTTAATTATTTATAAAGAAATAATTTTGAAAAAAATAGTAATTTTTACGAAAACTATGGTTTCTTAAAAAATATTTCAGATAAAAATTTCAAAATTTTATTAAATATTTTTTTTTAATTTGTATATGCTGCTAGATTTCTTTATAAAAAAATTACGTGTGTGAAGATAAAAATTACACTATGTTACATATTTCTTGTAATAAAAGGTCGTTCTATAGTAAATAAGATGCACTGAATACAAATGACTCCAAAAAGTGTCTATCACTAAAGTTTTCGAGAAAGAAAGGGTTAAAACCTTCTCTTAAAATCATATTTTTAATCATTTTCATAACGCATGAACTAGATAATATTGTTAAGGCTATCACGGATTTTCTTCAGAAATGCCATAGGATTTTATCATCATGTCGTAATCTATTGCTAATGCCACGTTTCATGAAATTTGCAATTCACTTCATCAGGATTAAGAGTGCTGATACTGAATATCAATGCACTACTCGCCCTGATGAAGTGAATGGCAAGGTTCATGAAACGTTGGCATTAGCAAGAAATTACAGTAACTAAACTAGATATTTCAGCAGTTTTGACAAATTCTGGTTGACTTTGAAATTTAGATATTTATGTTAACAATCTGAAAACCCTTTGTATATCTGATTTATATTTATTTAGACTTACACTAATTACCTCTATATGGCAGTCATATTGGATTTGTACTATTTAGCATTTTTGAAATCTGGGCAAAAGTTTATATTAAGGAACCCCCCATCCCCTCTCTTCCAATAACTTGACCTTGATATTTTGTCAAGGTCGTGATCCTGAGTGATCTTTAGTAGGTTTTAACGATCGCTCGTTATTCGTTAAAAAGTTATTAACAATAAAAAATTGGTAATTATTTAAAAAATTAATAACGCAAATATTTTAATTTCCCTATGACTCTTCAAATAAAATCGAGAAATTGAGCAAATGAGAGTATAACGCAGTTGTTGGAGCGTGATCAAATAATGATGTTAATTAGTGCAGAAAATTGATTGCATGTATTTCATTAAAAACTAACATTTCAACTCTTTTTAGAGTCATCATCAGTGTTAATACAATTCTTCAAAAATATGAGACATCACCTATGCATCAATAGCAATCATTAAAGAATTGAAAGATCCTAAGTGAGGTGTATGAATTTTGTTGCAATCTTATACAATTCATTTCTGGAACGAATGTGAAAAGGTACCGTGAAATTGATAAATTATAAATACTAATGAAAATATGTGGCTTACCATTTGATGCTGAGAGATGTGATTACAGGAACAAATAATTATAAGAATAAAGTCCAAGAATTGCAATAACCACACATTATAAAAGATATATATAAATAGTCAGAGTATAAGATAATACTCTGCTCCTAGTAGGCTGCTGGAAAAGTTTCTGCAATCTAGTACTTCCAATGGCGCCAACGTTCTGCTACTATCATATCCGTAAAATTAGACATTTTTAACCTATAATTCAATTGACAGTTTGTACCCAAGTCAATTAGTTTTGTTTGCACAGTATTTTAAAAGAAGTTATTTTGTAAGAAAATGGAAATTTCCCGTGAAAATTTTCGGGCAACAATTTTTTACAATTACAAATGTAATCTAACTCCGAAACAATGCATCGATCGACTTCATTTGGCTTTTGGGGATGAAGCACCATCCAATAGAACTGTTTATAATTGGTTTGCCGAATTCTAGCGTGGACCTTTCTTAGTGATGAATTCCGTGAAGGTCGTCCATCCACGTCTGTTGTTGCCACTAATGTTGATGCTGTGCGTGAAATGATTGAGCGAGACCGACATATAACATACCGCGAGATTCAGGCATCCTTAGGCATTGACATGAAAGCAATACATACGATTTTGCATGATCACTTGAGCGTACGGAAACTTTGCAGTCGTTGGATCCCACACAATTTCACCGAAGCTCAAAAACAGGGCTCGTGTTAAATGGAACAAAAAAATGCTCAAGAAATTCAACCGAGATCGGTCAAATTTGGTCTACAATATCGTTACTGGGGACGAAACATGGATCTATTTGTATGAGCCCGAAAGTAAACAACAATCCACTGTTTGGGTATTTCAAAATGAATCGAAACAAACAAAATTTGTTCGTTCACGCAGTGCTGCCAAGCAAATGATTGTTTATTTCTTCGGTTATACCGGACATGTGACAACCGTGGCTTTAGAGGATCGAAAGACTGTAAATACTGATTGGTATACAACAATTTGTTTGCCAGAAGTCATAAATGAATTGCGTAGAACAAACCGAAATTGTCGCATCATCCTTCATCATGACAACGCCAGCTGTCACACAGCACGTCAAACCGTTGATTTTTTATCCAATAATAATGTCGAATTGATGACTCATTGTCCGTATTCACCTGATTTATCACCTAATGACTTCTTTTTGTTTCCAAAAATTAAAAATAAGATGCATGGTGAGCGATTTGAGTCGCCTGAAGCAGCTGTTAAAACATTTCGTACACTGATTTCTGAGGTTACAGCCTTAGAGTGGAAAAATGCTTCGAAAATTGACTCAAGCGTATGCAAAAATGTATCGATCTTAAAGGCGAATACTTCAAAAAACAACAAAGCCATTTATCAAATTTTACATGTTTTTTTTCATATTGTTTGCAGACTTTTCTAGCAACCTACGTATTAATTAGTCAAGACACGGCAGAGTTAAGATTGACGATATTATTTGAAAGTGTGTCGCAGATACATACATATATTGTCATGGTTTACAAGCATAAAGTGAAGCGTTAAAATAATAAATTATTTATAATCTGTTTAAAATCGAAATATAAGCGTGATGTAAAAATTCTGTGTCAGACTGTAGGTTAATTATTTTGCATTTATACATGTAACATCTCAGATACCAATCTTCTTTCTAAATAACATTCACGGTCTAAAATTTTGACGTTTTCCCAATCGAAATCGTGATTAAATGAAAGTCTATGATCCGTAATGGCCGATGTAGCATCAGTGGAATTGTTAATTTGTCGACGATGTTCATGAATTTTCGTTTTTAATTTTCTGCAGGTTTGTCCTACGTATGTCGCGTTGTAATTTTTGCACTCTATTTTATATACTACATTCTTATTTGACTCTTTCGGGAGAATATCTTTGTGAACTTTCACAAAACTTCCAAGTTTATTTAAACTGAGAAATGCCAGTTTCATGTTCAAATTGCTAGTAATACTCCTGAATTTATCCGAGATCGATTGAATATACAGTAATATGAACTAAGAAGTACGTTCTTGTTCTGGTGGCGAGTATTAGTATTGTTTAGTAGTATTGTGCTTTGGATTATTTATGAAATAACGCTTTTAATCTTAGATTTATCGTCTCAAAAATAAAATCAGGAGTAATCATTCTCCAATAAAGTGTTTATTATAAATTTAAGGTTTTTGTCATGGTATCTGGGGTGTGACAATAAAAAACATGGTAATTATTTCCCCACTTTGCATGAAAAGTCGAATGACTCTGAGCAGGGAGAGATATGAGATGGATTGACTAAGTACAACTTTCCACGTGAAGCGAGGTCCGCCTTCCTCTCTGCCAAGGGGTAGGACTTTCCACGCGAAACGAGATCCACCCCATCTCCCCCTCCCCTCTGTCTAGAAGTGCACAACTTTCCATATTAAGCGAGGTCTATATTAGTCATTACATCCCTCCCCATCCCTGCCTAGAAGGTCGTGTTCCTCTAAGTAAGAAGGGAGGCGGGGTAGGCCTCGCTTTGCGTGGAAAGTCTTGGCCCACTGCCCCTAGGCAGGAGAAGACACAAATTTTCTGCTTAAAAAACATAAAAATTATACTTAAAAAATGTTTCTTCTTTATGCAAAAAATTTATTTTAATACAGAGAATTTTTGTTTAATGTATAGTAGAAAAGAGATGTTAATTTCTTAAATTTATTTTGTTAATAAATCTGTTAAATCTTTAACGGATAACAATCGATGGCTAAAACATGTTGAAGATCACTCATAGAAATCTGTTTAGAAAAATATGCCACACAAAAGGATTAAAATAATGTATCGATTTGTTTTAAAAAAAAATAGCTCTACATATTATATGACTGAACAATTTTTCTTTGTAAAAATTAAGTTTGTTAAATTATTATATTTTATATTTGTAATATTAATATAATTGCTTTTATTTGGAACGAAAGGAATATAGTTGTTGATTATGCGATAAAAAAAATATCTAATTAAATAAAAAAGAAAAATGTAATAAATATAGCACAAGACACTATAATTAGTAGTATCAAACATATCATTACATGGATATTAACATGGTTGCATTAACATGGAATACAGAAATAGCACATAATACATACCTATTTCCATATTGACAATACATGTAATAATAATGAACAAAATAATATTGTATGTATGTACGTTTGCATACAATGTGATTGTCAAAATCAGAGCATAAATTTATTAGAGATAATATGCGCACGCGGGACACACACGCGCGCGCGCACGCAATGGGCAATTAATAATTGTATTCTATAGAAAGTATAATTACATTTTCTAGATGAGAAAATGCACAAAACTTTTATCCTTTATAGTCAAAAATACATAAGATGATGAAAGGAATTCATGAAAAAAGTCTCTAGTATGTATATTTAACTCTAATATTCTATCGTTTATTGTAGAATCGGTGAACGACGCTCAAATAAATTAGATTTATAAATCAGACATATTTTTCAATACAGAATACTTTTAGTATTATCCTATAGATCTTTGGTCTTCCTCAATAATTATGTACATAGTTATTATACAATATGCATTATATATACCTCTATTTTACTATTTACTATCTATCATTTATTATCTTTCCAGTTATAACATGCTCTAGATATATCACTACATTATAATTCTCTTATCTATATCTTGATTGTGTTGTATACTAGAATTGTTTAGAATGTTACAACACTTCAATCATTGTAATTTTAAATACCTATATGCGTTTGTAAGTCAGAATTGGAAAGTGTACGTCCGTTATCTGTCTTTGTATAATGATTCACGAATGATGCACAATTTAGACACACTGTGAAAAAAGAAAAGAGCAACAATACATTCTAAAGAAAATTCTATATAGTAAATTTTGCTTCGTTACAAATATGATTAGATGAAATATCAATCGAAGAATTTTACAGAGTAGTATAGACGTGAATCATAAGTAATCTTTAAAAAGGCTAAAGTGTGCGTGTGTGCGTAGATGTTATATTTATGCAGCATACATACATGTTATGTCGCAGAATATAAGAAATATCAAATAAATTTCTATATGCATTTATTTCATGTATTTTACATATGAAAGATCTAACATTAGAGTTATAAAGACAAAAATAGTAATAACATAATTGAAATATATGTATTCTAAGTTACATATATATAACTGTAGACAGGTCCCCTTAGAAAGTGCTCTTAAGATACTCGTCAAATAGGAATACGGAAAGCGATGCATCACGCTCTTCGAGCATATTTTTGAGGTCATTTGAATAACCTGCTAGCCGTCTCACACGTTCGGACAATGAGTCCATGAAATGTTCCTCGATATAATGAGCAACAGCCGCATCCTGTTTAGCATGATGCTGTGATTGAGTGTGAATGCGTAACGCTTCTTCGGCAAGTTGCTTCTGACTGTCAAGTGCTTTAGCCAGACTATTCAATTCAGTTAATTCTAATACTTTGCTATCCTTGATCTATGAATAAATGATGATAATATTGATAAAATCTTTTCGTAAGTGGAAGATGAACTGAAAAAAATAGATTATACTCACAGGTTTCTTAGAACGTGGAAGCTGATTGAGATCCATTCTGCCACCACGATGTGCAATATATTTGATCAAGTCTATCGCTTCTTCCCACGATTTATCTGAAAGTTTGCGGTAAAGTCCCTTAAATCCTTCTCGATTAGCTTCGTAGTTTCCGAAATGTGTAGACATCAGAAGAAATTCAAAACTTGTTTCAATATTAGCATTTACATATGCTTGCAGCTCAGCCTGAAGAGTATCGATAGCTCCGTATTTGGCATTACAGTTTGATATTAATCCACCATCTAGAACCATCGAGATAAGAACATATTTTTTATCGAGATTACAAAAGATATATCTTAATGATATAATAATAATAAAAGAAAATTGAAGATTAGATACTAGAATTAAATAAATGACGCAATTGATCAATGCAGCAAAATATAACACTCTGAAAGGTAATGTTAATATTTCTATTTATTCTGAAATAATTTCATGCCAACAAACATCCACGTACTTTTAGGATTGGTGCTACAGGCGCTTTCAATGTCAGTATAACAGTATTCTCCAGAAACGGCTAGGAAAAGAAGAGACAATACTCCGAAGAACAACATCTTTGCTGAAATTTAATAGATTATAAAAATAAATACTTTTTCTAGATGTAGTATACATATACACGTGCATGGAATATAGTATATTATTCGAAAACATTAAAAACGACAAGAATTGAAGAATTGAAGAATTGAACAAAAACTGTTGACAATAACACGAGTGCTGACGATAATCATGTCCTTGCGTTGTTTTGAAGAAATAGAAACATTATTTACTCAAGTAATGGATACAAAAGAGAATCGAAGTTGAATTCGATCGAGCGTTGGGAGATTGTTTGTGACTCGTGATAAGAATAGACAAGAATATTTTCACAACACGTTTCTCTCTCTCTCTCTCTCTCTCTCTCTTTCCCGGAGAGGACACACGTGCCGTGCGAGTGCTCGTGACGTACTTCGCGACGCAGCACAATGTAGACCAATAGTGCGCAATACGTTTACGATGTATAGTACGATCAAGCAAGTGCAATCCGCGAGAGAAAGAATCAAGAGTGGAAAAGCGCAGCGAGTCCTTTTTGAAAAGTATACGAAAAGTCTCTTAGTATACGCAGAATACGTACGTGCAGAAGATTGATGGAGCAAAGCTTGAATGATGTCTCGAATCTACCTTTTTCGCAGCGAACGGTAAGCAACGTTCGATGAGAAGAAACGTGAATACTCTCGCTTCGACGTTCCTTCGACAATGAACGTTGCCCAGCGCAGAGATGGGAGTTTTCACTCTGGGTAGCAGCAATGAGTCAGCTGACGAAGGGGGGGGCGAGGGAAGGAGAGGCAGCACGGCGCAAGCGCAGGCGTCGCGCGAGAGAGCTAGCGGGACCTGCGGGACAGGAAACGGTAGATGAAAGCCAATGAAAGCAGTAGATTTCAACGCCTTCGTTATCGTCGTCGTTGCCGTTCGTCCACGTTTGTCCGTCGTACTCGTAGTTATCCCCGCTCCCCGCCTGTGGCCTAAGGTTAAAGTGCGAATGTCCCGCGTTAATCGAATGATCGCAGTCATTGTTGTAAGGTAATCGATGACATCCAGACGCGTTTAGTCGTCGTCGCTGCGCTTTCTTACCTAACTTCGACGAAGGCAGCCTTCTATACCAGTGCGTATAAAGGTTGCTTCTGAACGAGGTGAACGATCCGCCGCGCGTCCTGTCGCCAGACTTCGCCAGACCTCGGCAGACCACGCCAGACGGAAGAGATTCTTTCCTGAGAACTTGGCAACTCTTTCGAAGATTCTAATCTCTTTGTTGCATCATGATGACGAGGCTGCTCTACGTCTTTTTCATCCTAGCCTGTATCAATGGCACCTTTGGAGACGGGCTCAAGTGTAAGTTACAATCGACATGCGTAGTTTCTCTCCCTCCTCTCCTCTCATCTCATCTCTTTTCCAGCATCGCTCCTCGTGACCTCGTCGTTCGATCCTTCCTTTATCCCGGTTGTCTCTCCCACTTTCTCCGATGTAAAAAAAAATTAATTTCATCATTCAATGCGAGCATCGTCTTCCGTATCTTGAAACGAAATGATAAAAATTAAATAAAGTGAGCGAATTCACTAGAGAGATATTGATTAATGGAAATATTCTAGCAAATTCACTCACTTTTTGTAATTTTCACTTTATTTCGAAATATAGTACATAATCGATTCCTTAGTACCAAAATACGACGAGGAGTGCTTTGCGCGCCTCGTGAAACATGGAGTGACTCCGCGTGAAAAGTAGTAAGCATGTGAATGCAATAGTTTGTTTTGATTGAGCAATGTGACCTTTGGAAGAGAGTTGTGTTTAAGCTCTTTCTCCATTGGCCTGCTCATGTCCCCGTCCTACTAATATAAGATTATCTGTAATCTCGGTTAAGCTTACTGTTTTTCCTTTTCTAAAATTCTTCCATTTTGTTGCCAAACTTGACTCACTCTGATGAAACAAACAGTTTTCATTGTCCATTATTGCCTTCTATCCTTCCAAGATAACTACCTATATTTGTGAAAAAGAAAAAAGTAATATTATGTATACAATTGTTTGCCTTTGTAAATATTTCATGAAATAAATACGCATATTGTGCTTATTACATAAAACTTTGAAAGAGATTTCAACTACTTGGTTCTATATCTATAATACGTGGACATAATTGATTTTCAATTTTACAGTTTTGTAAATCGTATCAAGAATACAGTCTTTGTTTCTTCTTTCTCATTCTCTGTGTATAGAGTATTATACAATTGACTAGAGAAACAATGAAATATCTATGTTGTGTATATCCAAACTAAACTAAATATATAATATTAGATTACACATTTCAATGTAGCATTCACAAAATCGTCTTACCATAGGCGCGTCAACATAGATATACGATTTTTAGTCTAAACTTTTTTAAATGAATTATAGAATTGAAGTAGAGAATAGAATATTTCTCAAGTTAGCGACAAGGAAAGGCATTTTATCTTTGTGACACATGTATTATTTTATCCACATGATTTTATCAAATCTTGTTTTTATGACCCGATTCAGTATCACCAGTATTATCGCTTTACATATCAATATATGTATAAATGATGATAAAACTAGAGTCGTTAGAGAAAATCAGTTGCAGGAAATCGACAGAGCTATTATCAGCACATGATAAAGAGAGCTGTATAGTCAGTGTTGGTACGCAGTTGCCTCAGCTGTGGTCTCTCGTGATATCTATGCGATTCAACGATAATGAAAATTTCTATTTAAATATGTACATGTTAATTTACATATGTACATTTGAAAATACGAAGAGGGAGATCTTTTCATTTCGTCAACAGAAAAATTTAATTCAAAAATTAATCTTATTGTGGAAAAGATTTTTTTTCATTTATAATTATGAAAAATTAATCATTACCAAGTAATAATTACTTATCAACGTATGTCGCGTCTATACTTATCTCTTCTACAGTAAATCAATTCACTTCATCATTGACTTGACTTTGTTTTGTACAAAGCCTTTGATAATAAGTCGCGATGGGGTGTATACATACTGATTTCAAAGTCCATTTCAATTTATATTACTCATCCACTGACATGTCTATGTATCTATGCTACGTGTGATGCAAGTCCATTATGATAAATGATGATTCGATTCTGATTCATTTGCATATATTTTGTAAAATAGATTTAATTCTATTACAATACACAAACAATTTTAATTTACTAATATTATATATC